TAGCTTTGATTCTCTTCTCTTCTCTTCCTTTCTTATACTAAGCAATGGAGCTAGATAAAACCAATATATCAAGCTGTAGCTCTGCTTCTGTCTTATCTTCTCTCTTTTCTTACTGCTCTTATTAAGCTCAATCTTTCTATCTTCTTGCTGATTATAGCTTAATTAATATCTTTCTGCTATATACTAAGCTATCTCTTTATTTCCTTCATACTGCACTCCTGCACATCCTTTATCAGCTTTTCTGCTACTATTCTTCAAAACTCATATTTTTCTTCTATTCCCTTTCATCCTTTCAGATCTCAATAAACGATATAGCAGCCTACTGATTAGTACTCATGATGTTTGGAAATAAAGAAAAAAAGCCTGCTACAAGCACTGACTTTCCAGTTCTCTCTCTTGAAGAAGCGCAGGCTCAACTGCTCTCAGGCAGTGAGCAGGTGCAGGCTCGTTCTGCTGGCTCCTCTCGCTTTGCCTCAGTTCCTCCTTAGCGAACTGATTCCTTTCAAGCTGCAGCTAATGATATTATGAAGGATATTGATGAGCAAGGCGAACAGCGCTATACTATGCTAGCAGGAGAGGCTCGATCAGTTCTGCAGATATCTGCTCTATTCGCTTTCAAAGCTCTTCCCTGATGATACTAGAAGACTATAGCAGATCTTAGCTGAGTAATTATAAACTCTGTGAATGTTAATTACTTATCTGTTGAGAATGCTCTGCTAGCTGATTGCTCTAACTACTTCAATGCTGAGCTAGCTTATTTGCTAGAAGCAAGAGCAATCGAGCTCTTTAAGCACTACTTTCCTAGTATTTACTTTTACTCTATACTGTGCAACTCTAATTAGAAAAGCTTAAATCTGGAGACTGGAAAGCTTAGTAGAATTTACTGAGTTTATATAGCTTTAACACTATATAATGTTGAGGATTTTATCCTGCAGTGCAAGCAGCTTATAGATTCAGCACTGATAAGCCTGATTAGATAGCAGCTAATAAATCTGATTTTGCAGATATGGATAACAAATTGGTTCTTCGATTTTACAAGCTAAAAGATTTCTTACTTCCGAAGGAAATACGAACCAGGAGTATGCTAAGCAGTCTTTCCCTATCTTTGCAATAACTACTAGTTTGTTGCAATCTACAACTACTATTAATATGCTATTCAGATGCTTGATTTCTACTATTGTAAGAACTCTATTATGCGAAAGAGAATTATTTAGATAGTAGAGCAGCATCTGATTGTTATAAAGCAGCAGCTAGCAAATAAGACTCTAGCTTACTAGCATATGCAGATTTATATGCAGAAGAATAGATGGAGCTATGGCTTGTATGTAGCTAATAATCTGTACTTTTTTTTTCGAAAGCCTGATAAGTAGCAGAATAATAGCTAGTTTACAAACTAGCGGAACTCAGCATTATTTCAAAATGCTGATATTGATATCTTGCTTTAGCAACATATTGAGAAGGCTTTTCTCGTTGCTATCCGATTAGAGCTGAGCAGAGCAAATGGGGTTTTACAACAGGCTGAGTTCCTCAGAAGAAGCTTAGATTAGTGAAGAGCAGAGAGGGGTATTAAGAGCTTTGAGAGTATACAGATCTCAGATAGAGCTAGGAAGGCTTGGGTTCATTCTGCGAATATACAGCTTTGAGAGAATATAAAGGCTATTGAGTTCGCTCCCAGCGAGATAAGCTGAATGCAGCGCTTGCTTCCGCTTCTGCCAGCTTCTTTTACAAGAGCAGAGAGCTAAGTCTCCTATCCTCTTTCGCTAGTTCCTGAGGCAGCTCTTTTCTCTTCATCTTTCAGCAAGCTACAAGAGCCTAGCTTTATATAGAGTACAATATGGATTGAGATTGCAAGCTGGGATAATACTGCTATTATTATCTCTGCTTCTCCTAGCTCTGATTAGGGCTTCTTCTTTAGTATTGCAGAGCGTTAGAAGTTAGTTTTTTTCTTGCAATCGAAATCATGATTAGGATTAGGATCAGAATTGCTTATGCAGATATATCTCTGCATTAATGTAATAGCTAATTTGCTGCAAGATAGTTAGCTGCAATCTTTTAATAGCAAGAATGTTGCTTAATAAGCTATTTCGAAATCTATATTGCAGATGAGTATTCAGAAGGGGCTGCTATCGAGATTTCTTAGTATAGAAAGCGATATTTCGATAGCTAGCCAGTTTTTACAGAGCTCAGCAGGAAGGCAAAGCATATGCTCTCTCTTTCTTATACTAGCAACAACTTCATTTCGATAGCTAATGCTAGCTTATAAAGCTGGTTTCAAAGGCTAGCAAGCTGTACTAAACAAGCTTTCTCAGAGATCAGAACAGAGTTTAGAGCAGGATGCAAGAGCGCTGAGAATAGAGAAGTGTAAAGCGAGTAAGAGGATAGAAGTATGAGAGTAATGATTAGAGAAGACTGGAGATAGCAGATATAGATATTGTGCTGATTTTTTTGAGCTTTTAGCTTCTTGATTTATGTTTACAGCAAACGAAAATCGCTATCTCTATGTACTAAGCTCTGATTACTAGTTTATTAACTGATTTCTACTTTCCTCTTATCTGCTGATTTATAGCTTCTATTATCTTAAGAAAAACTCAGTACAAATTATTCATCTCTATATTATGCTACTTGCAGCGCTAGCTCATCTACTTATATAAGAAGCTCTTTTTAAAAAGCTCTTCTTAATCTTTCTCTATAAGATTATAAATCAGCGCTTTCATTCTGAAGCTAAGAGCTTAGAGCTCTCCTGTAACTAATATAAGAAGCTTTAAATACTAGCAGATATCGCTCAGCTTCTGTAAGAAGAATTTCTAATCAGATGCTAGCTTGTTTCAAAAGGTGCAATATGCTTGGAGTATACTACATTTGGAGCATTCAGCATATGCTGCTAAATGCTTTTGTACAAAGATCCCTTTCTGCAGCTAAGCCTGCCTGCTCTCGATCTTGTGCTAGACTGAGTTATGCTTGAATGAGCAGCTCGCTCTGGTATGCTAAGCTAGCAAGCTAAGCTCTCTCTTTTAGCCTTTGCAGAGAATACAAATGCCAGCTTATGCTTCAAGCTGCTGAACTAATGCTATAATCATCTTGCTTCTCTCTTAGTAGTTCTTAAGAACTTCTCTCTGCATCTAGCTGCTTCTTCGCTTCATCTGTTCAAAATGCTTGCTGCTGAGCCTCTGATTAGAATTCAGCTTATGCTTCTAGCTGGCTAGCTTGCAGTAATTGCAGGAAATCTTATCTAGCATGCATTGCATTCAATCGAACTGCTTATCAAGAATCTAATTAAGAAGGATATATCGATATTTCTTTATATGCAGATATTAGCTTATCTCAGGGCTAGTATTTTAAGGCGAATATTCATTTCAGAAAAGAGTTGCTTGAGAGAACTTGCTATTTCAGTCTGCTTGCTTGCTTTCTTAAGCATAGTCTTGCATATTTCTTGAAGGCTTTATATAAATAATTGCATGTATATTAGGAATATTCAGATTTATTTCTAATGCACTAGTTGCAATAATTATATAATTATAATTATTAATTCATTGCTATAGAATTGTAGTCTTGCTTGAAGTATTAGCAATTCTGCTGTAATAAATCTTATATTTCAGAGCAGATCCGAGGCTTTCTATCTGGCGAACTGTGCTGCTATAGATAATCATTCTTCCCTTCTTTATCTTAGCAAGGATTCTCTCTATCTCTCTGCAGATAGAAGCTTTTCTCTGATTAGAAGAGATCTGTTGAATAATATAGCGAATATTTTTGCAAATAGTAAATATTCGAAAAACTAATGATTTAGAGATGCATAGAGCTTAAAAGAGAGATGCTTCATCCTTTAGCAGTAGTATAGCTATAAGGAAGATCTGCTATATATCAAATGCTGCAATAGCAAATCCAAGCTCTTGAAATTTTAATTAAAAGATATTATTTGCATTAAGAGCAATATAATACTCATTTATTACAATGCAGTCAAGCTGCTCTTGAGTATGCAAGCGATTAATAAAGCTGGAGAACTGCTTAAAGATAGCAGATTCAGATGAAATAAAGATGATAGCAGCAGTATAGTTAGGCTTGGATGAGATTTATATAGATATATCAATCTGATAGATTTAGCATCTCTAAAATAGATCTTTCTGAAGAGCAATAAGCGGAGTAATAATAATTGTTATGCTTTGGAATGAATAATATGTTGAAAGCAAAAAGGAAAGAGCTTTTCTACTGCTTATACTAGCAATCTGCAGAATAGGGATTTCTTTTCAAGTAATTGCATGAAGAACAAGCTTCTGATTGCTTCAAAACTAAGCTTTTGCTCTGATTATCTGTTATAATTAGCTAAGAAGATTAGTTTTATATAGCTGATGAAAGCGCTGCAGCTAGCTCTGCTCTTGTTCTTTTTCAAAAATCTCTCTCTTTTGCTTGGAAAGCATTGTAGAAGCGGAATAGCTTTGAAACTCGAGAAAGCGATGCTACTGAATGCTAGCTTTTCGAAACTAATCTCTCCGAACAGCTGTTTCAAACAAGCTTAGCTGCAGCTTTCTTCCGTATACTATATGCGCTATAGCTGTACTATGCTCAGCTTGTAAATCAAGAATATTATTAGCTTCTTTATTATTATTAATCAGATTATTTCTGCTGCTCTTAAGCTAGCTTTGCATATTGCTTTAATAGCTTTTTTTAAGATATTAACAAGCAATAGCAATTGCAATATACTGCTAGATACTAATCATAAGCTTTGTATTTGTTAGCTGCAGGCTGTATTACTGAAGAAAGCATTTTATCCAATCTGCAAGCTATAGCTAGAAGCTAGGAGCTGAGAAGCTGTATTCCCTCTCTTCTTCTGGGTTTGCTAGTGGGAGGATCTGATTAGCTCAGAGCAGAAAGCTTCTTGCTTAGCTAGCTCTAAGAAGCTCTTCGATCTGCTGCTAAAAGGGGAAAGCTAGCTAGAGATATCAGATAAGAAGAGCGCTTATCTTGCGCAGCAGATATCAATAGATGATCTTAAGCTGATTAGATACTTAATAGTTCTTATAATAAAAAATAACAAAACAAATTAGCTTATTATAAAGAAAGATATTTCGAAGGCTTCTGTATGCTGAGTTCTCTAATCGAAGCTCAAGGATCTCAGTAATGCGAGCTAGCTGGCTTTCAGAGAAATGCAGAAGAAGGAGGATCTGCTTACGAAATCTCTCTGCTTGGAAGCAGAACTGGCTGATAGCAGAAGCCTGGAGCTGTTAGCTGTGCTTATCAAATCATATAGCATATAGCTCTATGCTGCTCAGAATATGCTTCAGAAGCTACTGCTGGCTGTTTATAAGCCATTGGTTGCAGCAATTAGCGAGAAAGGAATAGCTGATCTGGTTTTTATAATAATCATTCTGAAGCGAAGGCTAGTTAATTTGGAGCAGAGCTTCCAGATCTAGCGATTCGAGCATCTTAGCAAGGCTTTACTGTGCTAGGCTGAGAAGATTGTGAATCATATCGGAGATCTAATTAATATACAGCTGGATATTATAATAGAAAATAAGATTCCCTTATTAGTTTACTCTGCTCTGAACAGCAGTAGTATAGCGGATCTTGAAGCTGTAGGATCTAGCTTTGAAGATTCAGTTGAGAGGAGTAAGCTTAGTCTCAGAGCTAGTAGTTGTTATAAATCGGAAAACTTTTGGCTATAGAAGTTCGAAGAGCTTGCAGCAATGCTTCAGTACTTCTTTCTACAAGGTTTCCTGAGATAGCACAGCTAGCTTCTCATTCATCTTCTCCTTCCGCTCAAGATAAGCCTGAAGGACTATAAGCATGTAAGCTAGCTTAATAATAGCAGAGTAGATAAAAGTATAATTAAGTAGTATTTCCTATTCACTATTTGCTCGAATACTGAGAATAGCAAGAGCGCTGAAAAGAGTACTCTTATATTCAGTATCTGAAAGAGGATAATCGAGAAGCTGAATTACAAAGTTCAGGCATATTTTATTCTAGCGCGCTGCAGCTGTAGCAGAAGGAATCTCAGCTGTATTTTCAAGCTAGTATAGGAAGCGGATATAAAGAGCGCTCTATTCGGTAGTAAAGCAATAGAAAGATTTCTAATTAGAGCTAAGAGCTTGTATTCGTATAATATAGCTTAGAATGTAGCGCTAGACTTTCATATATTGCTGCTATGAACTGCTTTTGAATTAGCTATTAAATAGCTATCTAAGCTTGATATGCTTATTCTTTCGGTTGATTTCGAAGAGAATAGAATAGCTGATAATAGATACAACTATGGTATAGCGAGCCTGCTGAGCATTGCGCTGAAAGCTCTGCTAGAGAGCCTGCAGAATTAGCTCATTATTCCGGATTAGCGAAACCAGCTCCTTGGTTCTGATCAGATCTAGCTTCTGCAGATAAGTTGCTTAGCTTATCCTTCGGAGCTAGAGATTAAGCTTTAGCTGGTTGTTTTCTTTCTGAATAATCCGGTTTATTGGATTAGCTAGCTGCTTCTGTACCTGGCAGAAGGATGCTGTAATTAGCTGCCTTGAATCCTCTGGAATGCTGAGCTGGCTGTTCTCAGGCCTGCTCTGGCGTTGGATCTCGAACCATCTGCTAGCCTGCTAGCTCGGAAAGAGCTTTTAGCAGCATACCTGCATTTGCTATGAGACAGGAAAGGCTATCTTCTGAGCAGATAAGCAGCTATCTGTGCAGGGATTTACTTATTCATGCAAGAAGCAGTAGTGATCTTGCATCTTATAAGCTTGCTTGGTAATGAAAGAGTATTCTTAATAGATAAGGCTATTAGTTTAAATATTACTAAGTAGCGGAATAGCAATACTTGCTGGATTAGGAAATTGGAAATGCTACAGATCTTGTTGAGTATAATAGATGCTAAGCAGGCTCTGAATGTAGCTTGCAATAGCTTGTTACTCTTTTCTAAATATTCTATAGCATACTAAAGCTAGATATGCTGCTATTTTATCAGCTATAATGCTAAACTAGTATTCTCTATATATTATAATATATAATAGAGAATAGAAAAATAAAGAATAAATAGAATTAGCTATAGCTGAGTTTTAATCAGAATAGCAAATTAGGAATATAAATTGAAATAAGCTCTAAAAATAATGCTAGATAATTAATTGTTTTCAATACAAATAGAAATGCAGATCTGATCTCTTTAATCTTTATTCTAGAAATGCAAATTCTGCAATTGAAATAGAAAGAGAGATGATAAGAACTTGAAATTCAGAAATAATAGAGTTTTAAGGGAAGCGATCAGACTTCAAATTGAAATGAGATAGAAAGCTTAAAATTTGAGTTGAGGATAGTTTGTAGAAAAGAAAACGATCTGCTACTCCCTGCATTTGCTAGCACTGAAAATTCTTTCACTCAAAAAAACTGTTCTCTATCTTGAGAACACTTTGACTTTAGGATAAGCTTGCTGTAATAAGCACTGCAGCAATTCGAAGATTCCGAAGTATACAAAGAGGATTTATGCTAATAAGAGTGGTATTAAAGTGCTAAGTTCTTGAATACGGAACTGTATAAGTCTTAGTAAGCAATGCAAGTATTCACTGCCTTTGGAGCTATTAGAGTAGAGAGTAATCTGATATTTAGATTGATAACTGAAGAGCTATGTACGAGATCTATCTAATAGGAATGAATGTATTCTTATATATTCAGCTCTTCAGTTCTGTAAGTAGTATTGATTGTTGAATTATTTGGATTATCTGAGCAATTCAACTGATTCAGATTACTATAAATTAGCAACTAATCTATTCTAATTCTGTAATCCTAATCCTTGCTTATATAAGCCTTAGTTATTGAAATGTTGAATCCTTTCCTGTTTTCCGAATAGTTATTCCAGGTATTCTAGCTGGTGATCTGCATATTGGATGAGTTATAATATCATCTTCCTTCTATCAATTATTATTTCTAATAATCTTCCATAAGTATTCTAGCAAGTTCTTTGTATATATAGTTATGCTTTTCTAATCGAGATATTGAATAGAATTAATAAATTGTATTGTAATGAGCACTGCAGCAATCCGAAGATTCCTAAGTACACGAAGGGGTTTATGCTAACAAGAGCGGTATCAAAGTATCAAGTTCTTGAATACGGAACTGTACAAGTCCTAATAAGCGATGCAAGTATTCACTGCCTTTGAGGCTACTTAGTATATGAAACTGAATACTTAGATTGACAACTGAAGAGCTATGTACTGAATCTATCTAATGGTAATGAACGTGTTCTTATATATTCAGCTCTTCAGTATGGATATGTTAGATAGTAACATATCCAAGTTATCCTGCTAGCTCTGGATAGCACATATCCGAAGCTATCCTTCCTAATTGGTCGTGCTCATAACCCTAACCCTGGGTTATGTGATCAATGCTTTGTTAGGACGTTGAGTCCTTGACACCTGATTCCTGTTACTCGTGACCTGTTCTGTGACCTGCATGTTGGATGAGTCATAACATGTATTCTAATCGTTTAGTGAAAACTCAAGAGCGCTATTATCTTGCTAAGCTTATTTTTGCTTTTAGTATTGAAATATCTGCTTGTACTTATTGTTAGGAGATAGAAGCTTTCTATTGTTTTGCTGAAAACTCTTTTCGTTATAGAAAGTATATTTCTCTGAATTAAAGCTGTAATACTAGTTGTTTCTTAGCTTTTGCTGATTAGTTTCTTTGTTTCTTAATATTCTTTGTAATTACTGATTTTCTTCTTCAGCAGAGCATTTGATTCGTAAAAAGTGCAAGATTTTAAGTAAGGAAGCTGAGGTAGAGTTAGCAAATGCTGCTGCTCTATAAGCCTTGCTAGCATTGCAAGCTTGTTTTGATTGTATATGGAAATAGCGAAGGTTGTTGGAGAAGCGTGCTGCAGAAATGATTCGTTGTAGTTTCAATTTCTTGGAGGGATTCGCTGATGAGGAAGATTGCAGTTTTTGTGAAGAGGAGACTTGCTTGATGTTTTAGGGATATCTTGAGATTATTGACTGGAGTTTCTTAGCTCTTGATTCTAGTATATCTGGTTGGCTTTCTCTTCTAAAGAGTGAAACTGTAGCGCTTGATTCTCGTTCTGAGGCGGAGAGGTCTTAGATGCTGGTTTTCCTTTTCTAATATTCAGCTATCTTTTCTTAAGCATTTTTAACGTTTTTCTGCAGTTCTCAAGAATTTTCGCTTGCTGAATAACCTTTTCATTTAATAAGATATTCCCTTGTATTATCTATGCTTCTGTGCTTGAGAATCTTCTCTATCTTATACTCTAGTTCATTATTTTCTACTTCTGCTGTATTATCTGTTAGTATTTCCTGTACTGCTAGTTCCAGCAGTAAGATGTGGAAAACCGAGTATATCCTTATTTCATGAAGTAATGCTAACTTGTAGTTAATTAGAGAAATCTATTGCAAGATTTTAAATGATTCCAACTTTTTATAATCAAGTTTATTGCTGGATCTGGTTGTTTTGATATTTTTTCGAAGTAGATAGATCTTATTTCCCTTCTATAGGATTGGTTTCTTAATTCTTTTGGAATTTGTATACTGTATTATTTGTTTCTGAATGAATTGTAACTCTAATTGGAATTCTTTCTGAACTTTCCTGATCTTCTTAACTCTTTTATCTGCAGCTTCTATATCTGCTTCTAGCAGTATCTTATAATAAGCTATTAGATTATATTTGTAGAATATAAAGAATAGTAATTTCTTTATTATGCTTATATCTGCGCTATTATAAGCAAATTATATAAAAGATAATAGATTAACTCAGTTATTCTGTTTCTGATTGATATAGTATTGAAAATACTATTCAATAACTTGATTCATTCTTTCTGTTTATTTATCTGTTTGCGGATGAAATGCTATAAATATTCTGTAGTGTATTCTAAGCTGTTTTATAAATAAAATTCAAAACTTTGAGTTAAACTTTCTATTTCTATTGGAGATTACTTCTTTCAGCATATTATAATTAGCAATAATCATTCTAAGGAATGTATATACAAATTTCTCTGCTATACTGCTTTTCTTATAGAAGAGAAAATAAGCATACTTGCTCAGTTTGCAAATTACTATTAGAATGCTATTATATTATATCTTAATTAAGAGTTCTTATAAGAAAGATAGCTTAGTAATGAAGTTTAGACTGATGAATTGCTAAATAGTTATAAGTACTAGTAAAGAATGCAGTAGTTTATAAGGCTTGTATCTTTTTGCTTTATTCTTTTTGCAGCTATTGCATTATTATAGAATGTTTTCAATTCTTTTCCTAAAGCTTAATAGATTTCAGTATTTTTTGATGCATTTATAAATTGCTCTAACTCTCTAATATCTATATGCTGATGTATTATATATATTCTTGATATAATTATTTTGTTCATCTAGAGTTATTGATTCTGAATTCTTCTCTAAGAGTTCAATTCTGAAGATAGTATTCAATTCTCTATGTATATTAATAAGATTTCCTAACTCGTTTTAAGCAAAGATATTCTATATATTCGAGGAATCTGCATCTCGATAGTTTGATTTTCTGCTGAAAGCATTTGCTTGTTTATTTTCTGAGCTTTTGTAGTATACAATCTTGAAATTAAACTGTAAAAGGAATTCTATCTATCTGATTTGTTGCTTATTTAAAATCTTAATTATTATAAATATAATCAGATTCTTGTAATCCGAGTGAATTATAATTAAATATTATGCGCTAATAAGATAGTATTGCTACTCCTCGAAAGCTTTTACTATTGCTATAAGTTTCTGATTAGGGATTCTGTAGTTGATTTCCAGGCTGTTTAACTTTCTTGAGAAGTTGCTTATAATTCTTAGATGCTCTTGATTGTTTTGCTGGCTAAGTTGTTCTCTGAGTGTATATTCTAATGCATTAGTTTCAATTTTAAAGGGTTTGTAAAGATCTGCTTTATATAGAATTAGCTCTGAGGTAATATGCTTAATAATCTTATTGAAGGCTTCTTATGTTTTGAGGGTTTATTCGAAAAGCTGCTTTTTTTTAGTAAGATTTGTAAGAGAATATGTGATTTAGCTGTAGTTCTTAATAAACTGCTTATAGAAGTTGATATATTTGAGGAAAAATTTAATATTTCTGATATTTCTAGGAATTAATTAGTTTCTAATAGCTTCTACTTTATCTTTCTGTAGCTTAATATATTCTAGCTTGATTGTGAATTCGAGATAGTTAACTTTTTGTATATAAAAGTAATTCTTTGCAGGTTTTATAAGAAGTTTTGCATTTTGAAGCATTTGCAATACTATTTTCATATATTTCTTATATTCTTTAAGTATTCGAGAATAGATAAGAATGTTATTGAAATAAGCAATAATAAACTAATTCAGATGCTTGCATAGAATATAATTGATTATTTTCTGAAATAAAGCTGAAGCATTTGTTAGATTAAAGAGTATAATTAAATATTTGTAGTATTTATAGCATATTCTGAAAGCAATTTTCCATTCTTTTTTTTTCTTTATTCTGATTAGATTATAAGCTTCTTTCAGATTTAGAACTATGAATTACTATACTTCTTGCAATCTATCTTGTAATTTCTTAATAAGTAGTAATAAATATTAGTTCTTAATTATAATATTGTTAAATTGCTTATAATTAATATATAGCTTGAGCTTACTATTTTTCTTAAATATAAATAGAATAGGATATTCTGCTAATAATTGCAATAATTATATATATTCTTTCCTAAGATTCTTATTGAGATATTCTCTAAGTGCTTCTAGCTATACTTTGTTTAGTCTATAGATGAGAAAGAATTTGAGCTATTTTCCTTTTTATAGTAGAATCTTGTAATTGTATGAGCTGTATTCTGGCAATTCTGTATTCAATTCTTTCTGAAATAGTTTCTTGAACTTGTAATATTCTTGTAATATGTTCGAGAATATTAGTTCTGATTTATATGCTGTTTCTGCTATCTGAAGGAACAGTAGGTATTGTTGAGTATGCTTCTTTTCTGATAGCGTTTTCGAGAGCTTTAAGCGTTCGCTCCGGGCTAAACCGAGCGCTCGAGAGCTTGGTTTCGAGATCTTTCTCGTATAGTTCTATAATTCATATTCTGAAGCTTTTCCTTATTGCTCTGAAGCGAACTAACTTGCTGAGAATCTTGCTTTTATTATTTTGCTAATCTGTTAGCACTCTAGTATTATTTAGGTTTGCTTATTACTAAATTCTTCTTCTTGAATTGCTAGCTCTGCTGATTTGAAAGTGTATATGAAGTTGTTTGAAGCTTCTTTTCCTGAGTATTCTTCAATAACTAGCTTTGATTCTGCATTATTGATTGCAATTATCTCTCTGAATACAGCTTGTTCTTATGAGATCTGGCTAGTAGTTTAATCGATTCAAGAATTATGCTTTTTAAGCTATAAAAGTTCTATAATCAGCTCATGCTGTGCTATATTCATAATATCAAAGGAAGCTCTAGTTATACATTCTTGGATCAAAATAGATAGATAATCAGTTTTCTTATTAATTACTTCTTGATTATATATAATAGATTGTTCTTTTATAGTATTGAGAGTATATGAACGCCTTTTTCATTTTCATTATAATTATACTTAATTAATAATATATGAAGATATGAAGTTTCCTTGAGCGCTACTATCTAATAGTACGCTATACTTGTATTCTTGAATATATATATTGAACTTGATATAAGTATAATCTATTCTGAAAGCTTTATATAAAAACTATTTCAATCTGATTATCTGCAGTCTCTTTACAAGCAATTCTGTTCTTTTAAGTTTATTAAAAACTGCTTATTCTTCTGAGCTTGCTTTGCTGCTTTTTAAGCAAGCTTCTTAGCTTGCTTCTGCTTATATTATTATTATTCCTAGTCTTTTTTCTGTTAATGCTAGTTGCAAATCTTGTTATTAATATGAATTGTACAGAGTATTATCTTATATTGCTACTATTTTATTTTCTTATTCATATATTGCATGGAGCAGTTATCTGGTAATTCGATATATGCATTATAGTGCTATTTGTTAAGAATCTTTCTAAAGCGGAGTTTCTGTTCTTTAATAGTCTGAAGGATTTATTCTGATTTTCTGATAGAGAACTATTTGTATTGCATCTTGTTTGAGAAATGCATTCTGCAGCTATGATAGATGCAGAAGATTCAAGCTAGTTCGTGATGTAAGTTGTAAAGTGAATCAATTCAAGAATCTTTGCTTTGTTATATCTTAATATTTTATAAGAAGATGCAGATAAAGAGCTTCTCTAATTCTATCTCATAAACGAGATATTTAATTCATATTATTTTCTTGTTCCATTCAATGCTAAAGAAGAATCTTTCTGTAAGCTTCTTGAATTTATTGTTTATAAGAAACTTCGGTGAATTATTAGATTGTTTATTCTAGCTTGATCTTTCCGTTGCTTAAGAAGCGTTTTCGGTATTGTTTAGGTATTTATACTAATAACTAAGAAAGTATTATTCTTTATTCATTTCTCTGGTTATAGTATCTAATGCAAGTAATAAGAAATAGCGAAGGGCACTGTTGTTAAGCTCTTTCTTCAGCGCTTGAGTGCTTCGTTCAGTAATATTGAAGCAGTTCGAGTTATTGCTGCTTATAGTTATGCTGAATGTATACTCTCGCTCTGCTGTTGCTATCTGCTTGTAGCACCTAGATTTCTAAGAAAACTATTCTGAATCTTTCTTACTTAAGAAGTGTATTAAGCAGTTATCATTATAGCAGAATATTCAGCTAAGACTTCTGTAATTAATAGAATCCAATACTTGCTTTAAGAAAATGTTTTTGCTCAGTTGATTGGATTCCTATTATTAAGCAATATTTATCTAGTATTCTTTCTGAACTAATTGCTATTTATTCTTCTGGGATTGATAGCAGTTATATGTAATGTATTCTTATTTATTGCAGTTGTAGCAAGTAATACTATTTTTTTTGCTATATTGCTTATTAGCAGCATTGAGTTCTATGGAATTAGCATATATAGTACTGCTCTAAGCTATGCTGCTCTATTGTTCGCTATTCTTGTATTAGAATTTCTTACTTATATTAACTGGAAATTTCTAAATTTAGCTTTCTTTCTTTTTAAACTTCTTTATCCATTGTTTATATAGATAATTATTAATATAGATAGCTTGATTGAAGAATATTGCAAAGTTCTCTAGCTAATTCTGCTTGAAGATTTTATCTTTAATATTATTCTTAAGTTTCTTATAATAATGCTTTATAAGATTCTTATCTTTCTATAGAAGTTGTATTGAGAGTTGCTTGAATCTGATTATATAAGCAGAAGCTGACTTAGTTTGCTTGAGATTTATAAGCTGCTAAGCTATAATGCATTCTTTGTTAGGATTATTAAAGATTTCTTTAAGAGCTTTTTTGAAGCTTTTAAAAGAATTAAATATACTCTTAGTATTCTGAGTATATGTATCAGAGTTGTTCTGATGCTTCAAGTGATTGTATAGAAAAGGCTTATATTAGATAAGAGCATTCTTTTCGAAATGAGTTTCTATAAGGATAATTTTCTCAGATTTCTTAGTAAACTGAATCTTGTAATGCAGAAAATATGCTCTGCAGTAGATAAGGAATCCATGCAGTATCTTTTGATTATCATTATATATAGCGAGCTTATTTATCTTATATGCTTTTTCAGCACTACTAATGATTACAGAGATAAACTGCGTCTGCTGAGCTTATTAAGCTAGCTGAGTCTGTTGGTTAGCGATAGTAGTGCTCTAAGCTTGCTGTTATTCGTGCAGATTCTGAATATGCTGAATGAGCTGGTATATCTGGTTGATCAGTTCTTTCTGAGTAGAAGCGTATGAGAATGAAGGGATTTCTGGAGAAGCTATTATATTCCGTATTGCTCAAGGGGATAATACTAAACCGTTCTTGAACAAGAGTTATTAAAATGTAATAAGTACTGTAGCAATTCGAAGATTCCAAAGTATACAAAGAGAGTTTATGCTAATAAGAGCAGTATTAAAATGCTAAGTTCTTGAATATAAAACTGTATAAGTCTTAGTAAGCAATGCAAGTATTTATTGCTTTTGAAGCTATTAGAGTAAAAAGTAATCTAATATTTAGATTAATAATTAAAGAGCTATATATAAAATCTATCTAATAGAAATGAATATATTCTTATATATTCAGCTCTTTAGTTCTGTAGATAGTATTGATTGTTGGATTACTTGGATTATCTAAGCAATTCAACTGATTCGGATTATCATGGATTAGCAACTGATTTATTCTGATCCTGTAATTCTAATTCTTGCTTATATAAGCCTTAGTTATTAAGATGTTGAATTCTTCCCTGTTTTCCGGATAGTTGTTCCGGGTGTTCTGGCTGGTAACTTGCATGTTGGATGGGTTATAACACCTGCTCTGGCGTTGAACCTCGAATCATCTGCTGGCCTGCCGGCTCGGAAAGGGCTTTTCTGCTCTCTTTTACTTATTATATATTTTCAAATTATAAATAAATAAGCTTTTCTGCTCTAGCTCTAGCCCTCGCTCTGGCCCTAGCCCTACGCTTAGCTTTCACCTCATATATACTTACATGATATGAAAACGAGCTTTTCTGCTCTCTTTTATCTATTATATATTTTCAAATTATAAATAAAATCAGCTATAGCTAGATTCTGATCAGAATTGCGGGTTAGGAGTATGCTCTAGAAATAAGGCAAGGCAATTGGTTGTTTGTCAGATGGAAAAGTTGCAAAAGCAATGTAGCGAGGTCTTTTCTCTCTTTCAGAAGCATACAATTAGAATAACATTGAAGCTTAAGGAGCTAAGTTCTGCTCAGCAGTGCTAACGTGGCTAGAAAGCCGCTTTATAGCCGCATATTGCTTAGTCATCCGTAATCCAGCTGGCTTAGCTAGCCCTGAGCCTTGCTAGCACAATCGGCCCTAACATTG